TTCATTGTGGTAGGTTTACAAACTGTCTTGAACTTTTAATTTCGTGTATGCAATCAGATGAACGGTAAATATTTTTTCTTTCGTGTTTTACAGAACGGATGGGCGGAAAGTGCCAGTAGTGATTCAGGTGTGACTGAGCAATACCTGGCTAAGACTGACATGATAATTGTAGAGGTATGGACATCCTAATGTTACAGTAATGGTCATGCGAAGCAACGCAAATGTATCTCACTGCTTGTTACGTCCATGCAGTTGCAACAAAAGGTCACTAGTAATAAACTCAGCTTAATTAAATGAATATTACCGATTGATAGTTTTCAGACTTCTAACATTTCTGGTAATATAAAGAAGAACCGACGTCTACGTCACACCAAAACAAACTATAAGTATAACAATAGCTAAACAGTTGATATTAAACTAGATGTTTGGATTGAAAACAGTAGTATTTATCTCAATCTTACTTTGTTTTATCCATGACTTCTTTTTACAGAAAGCATTAGTAATCACTACAAATTACTTTGACTTTGAATACTTCGAACCCGATTTATCCCTTTTTGACATCAAGAAATGTTTTTCGTCACAAGATCAACATCATTTTCAAATTACATTTCCAGGTAAGAAGATAGACAAAATATTATATTTAAACCTTAAATATGTTGCTCTTTCCTGCACAAAAAATTAATAAAAATGAATACTCTTTTGTGAAGGTCAATATCATCCTTATTTGGATATCTATGAGAAAGTCTTTGGAATAGAAGCCTTAGAAATGATGTCTCGAGCATCAGGTGCCTCAATTTTACGCTTCCAAGAAATTTCTCTCAACTATGACCCTTACCATATTTACGTCTCTGCGACAATCCTGGGAAGGCCGCCTTTTCTAAGTGAGTATTTTGATTATCCAGCTAGTTTTCTTGAATAAAGAAAGAAAGAATATTACAATTTGTTTATGTTTTCTTTTTTATCAGCGGAATTTACAAAACTACCGATAGCCACAAAAACTCTCGGAACCGACGCCGTTTTTGCAAATCTGAAATCTGCAGATGAATGTGCAAATGCGTGTTTGACAATCAATCGGTTTCAGTGCAATAGTTTTGATTTCTGTCCAGACGTAAGCAAGTGCTATCTAAGTAGTCTCCATGTCTCAACTGGAAATCAACCATCGGCCAAAACAACATGTCAGCATTATTCCAGTGAGTGCTTTTTTTTTACCACAATCAAATCTTTTAAGACCTGGTAGTCATGTATTTAATCAAAACTGTCTGTATCGATATTTGTGTCATAAATGCTAGCTTCTCCTTTTATTCAGATTTTTCTCTTATAATGGTAGTACTTTAATTATATTAACAAGAGTCTGTAAACGCCTCTGCTGCCCCTGCTCCTACATTGCTGGTGGCCTACAGCAATCTGAAAAACGCAGTATACACCGGACATTTGAGCGTTCCGCTGAAAACCAGCAACTATTCAGTAAGTAGTTACTTGTCACAGTACCTTATTAAAATGTAAAAGAAAAAACCTTTTTTATCTTCAACCATTCTAAAATGAATTTGACAACTTTTTTTCAGAAAATATACACTGCATCCAGCATTAAAGACACTATACAAAGTTCAAGTGACATTGTTCAAGGAGGTGGGAATTAACTTATCTATTTGAAATGTAACATTAATCTAAATTAATCTGAGCAATAACATTTTCTATTGATAATAGTGACTGTTTTGCATTGGTAGGACAGACAATGAAGCATTTCACGGTGTACAAACAGAACTCTATAATGGCGAGGAGTGAGTACACAGTACGTGGTGTGGCGGTGGATGACTGCGCCACCGAGTGTCTGATGGAGGAACTATTTGATTGTCAGTCATTTATATACTGTTCAGGACAAAGTCTGTGCCTCCTCAGCTCAGTTCATCCAGAACTTAACCAGTCCCTCGTCCAGCAACACAAGTACTGTGACCTCTATACAAGTAAGGGCGTATAGAATATATAAAACAAAATTTAAAGATAAATTTTTAAATTTGAATATTCATATTTGCTAGTATGACCTTGGTTTATTTCTACAGGCAGTTTACATTTTGGGAAATAAACAACTGATATCTAAGTGGGAAAATACTTACTTTATGTCTTATTTTCTTGGAAGGGCAATATTTGGATCACTATAATGCAAAACCTGGGACAACCTTTCCAACAAATGCTGATAATGTCATAATGGCAGTTCCTACTGCAAATCTTTGTGCAAAACAGTGCACCGTTACTGACAGCTGCAAATCATTCGATTACTGTGCTAACTCCAAAACTTGTCGGTTGAAAAATACTCATGAACTAGACGCTCCAACGGCTGTTTTTCAAAAGACTCCAAATTGTAATCACTATTCACGTGAGTAATTTGATACCTTTGTACATTTACACCTCAATATCAGTAGACTTTTTCTAACTATATAGATTTTGCATTTACATTTGATACATAGTCTTAAAATAATGGACTTTTTACCAGTTGCCAAAAATTTGGTTAACGTTTCTTCATTAGAAAAAAATGTTTAAAACCAAGCTAACTTTGCAAATATTGAATCTGAGCACACTATAGTACAAATGGGATTGTATATAAAGTATTCTATTAATTCGGTTATTTTTTAAATGAAATTTGAAATAAACCAAATTAAAATGATTTTTTACAATGAAGGTAAATACATCGATGACTTTAAATTTGTGGAGGGAAAGCAGATGAACTTTGGGAAGGTCTTGGAATTTGATGGCGTGTCTGTTGACCAATGTGCAAAACTGTGTATAGAGGAAGAGAGCGTTAACTGTCGTACTTTTGCCTACTGTGGAAATTTTACTAAATGTGAATTAATGTCTTCAACGCCAAAGCAGATAGGACCCGGATATATCACCTCTAGCGGCTTCTGTAATCTGTATATAAGTATGTTATTGTTTTGATTTTTTCTCTGTTATCTATTTTTAAATTAAATCATCAGGCAGATTATATTTTTAAAAATCCCATATTTTCGCGAGGTCAAGTTTTTGTGATTTCAGGAAAAACGCTTGGTTTGTGAATATTTGATTTCGTGGATAAAGAATTTTTGAGTAGTTTAATATACTAGTACATTAAAATTTTATATAGTGGTGGACATGAATTTGTGGATGCCATCTTTCCTCAAAAACAACGAAAAATTTGTGGTTTCACAACATTTTTTTTCTTATTGACAAAGAAATACAAATTTTAATAAAAATTATCCTTCCTTAAAGGAGGTACAAGACTGTTATCGTAACTTGTCACACAGATAGTAATATCTTAGTTTTTGGAGATCATTAAATTTATCGAGATATATCATTTTGCTTTTCTTTACAGGAGTATACAATCCCTCTGCCACTGTACCCAGCAATACTTCTTCAGCATCAACTAATGTCAGCAAAATCTCTCCACAAAAGTCGGACTCAAATTTAGGTAATTTATCATATATCTCTTGAAACAAGGTCATGAAATACAGAAAGAAAGAGTCGTCTAGAGTTCTTTTCCGGTCTATGACTTGGTAATGAAGGAAGCTTAGAAGTCCACTGACACAGAGCCAGTGTCAAAGGTAGGGTAGTCATGTCATGAGAGAAAACCCTGAGTGATTAAACAATAGCTGGGATGGGAAATCATTAATAGAACGACTTGAAGGGTAAAATTTGTGTTGAAAGAAAGAAAAAAACCCTATTATTTATTACATATGATATATGCATTTTGTTTTTTGCCCTAAGGTAAAAAGGATGTCCAGACTAAATATATAACATGTGTTTAAAATTACTAATCATTCCTAGTTTCACAAACACAGACTGAAACAATTTTCTCATAAACGAAGGCACTCGATAAGTATACTCCCTTCATTTACAGCTCTACTACTGGGGACATCTTTTGGTGTATTCATATTTGGCCTCGTTTTGGGAGGTGGAATGGTTTACTTCTTCCGCAAGTACAAAAGGAAAGATGATGAGATTACAATGGACATTATAGGGAACGAATCTTATTAAATCTTTTAAAATCTCGTTTTTTTAAACATTAAGAAATTTTAGTATACGTGCATACAAGACTGTACATGTATCTATGTCAAGTTTGAAATATAGTTACACTTTAAAGATTTTAAGATGAACCGGTGTCTAAATTTCTGAATGTTCTTACTTTGTATCGTATGTTGAATGTATATGTTGAAAAGTAATTTCTCTTGACCTTGAAAGGATATCCACTCCACAACTACGAAAGGAAGACACCTCTTTATATTCAATTTTAAAATGGAGCTTGAATTAAATTTTTTCGTGCTACTATACTCTGTTAACTTTTAGTCATTTTGCGAGAAGTTTAAATTGCTTAAATCCTGATTTTTATGATATGAGGATCGGATTTATTTAAGAAGAAAAATATAAGCAATAGGAAAAATAGGTAAAAATACAACTTTTTTTGCAGTTACAGTACACTTGCAGTTACTTTTTGAATTGTTAACCCATTTTATCATTCTGTCAAAAACGTATCAAGTTTTTTGTTTAGTATTTCATTTCTTTATTTTATGGTTTGATTCACCTCTGACAAGATTTGTATTAGTAATGAATAAACAAATGACCTACCATTTCCATAAATGTATTAACTATACAAAATGTTTACCTGTATATTTTCAACAATGTAATGGAAAAAGGGAGAAAGGAATGGTTGTCATCAAATGTAACCTTTTCTATATTGCATCACTAGACTATGTGTTCACAACTCGTACATAGTATTTTTAGAGGTCTTTATTTCGTTTGCAGTATTATGTTATTTTACAGTTGTGGTATATGATGTATAGTTTTGGCAAGCTATTGTACTATTTTTTCTGCAGTTAAAAATTAAACAAACACCAAATAATAGATAACTGCTTCAACATGTTTCTTTCTCATGGTACATATAAAAAACAAATTTTCTTTCGGGGTAATTTAGTTCATGGAACATGCAACTTTATTTGAGTGAAAATAAGAAATAAAAATTATTGTGTGTTCATTTGCTATCACAAGGCAAAATAATTCTTTTCTGGGGAATAAAGTTAAGAAAGCTCTCTGTATTCCTTGACCATGTTATCCATTTTTATCATGGATTCAATTATTCCTTCTCCATTTGTTGCACTTGCTGCTTGGATGAACCAGTCTCTAGATGCAATCTTATGTAATGTCATCAAATCAGAAATTTCCGTTACTTTCATGGCACCTAATAGATAGAGCGTTAAAAAAAATCAAAGACATCTAAATTAAAGCACTTTAACAAATAGTAAATAAAAACTTAAAATGCATTTCACCTTAATTGTATTTCATCAGTATATTATATACGTACCGGGTAAATCTTGTTTGTTAGCAATAACGAGAACAGGAACTCCTCTCATCTCAGGACTATCAAGGACTTCAAACAGCTCTCTTTGAGATTCAGTGATTCTTTCTCTATCACAACTATTTACGACATATATCAAACCTGACCAAAAACGGAAAAGAAATGAAAACAAACGAAAAACAAAATAATTATTCCATTGAAAGAAAGAGTGCTTATTCGGTCAAAGATTAGACAAAAATTTTTTTTTTACCATTATCGAAGATTTAGATCCACGGGAATAGGAAATTGATTTATTTTATTGCATTTCAATTAATTTGTGATGATGTGACAAAACTAAAATCATATTAAGAAGAGGAATGTATTGTTTACCTTGAGTATT